ACCACTGGCTTTAGGCTAATGCAGTTCCATTAATTTCATTTATATTGGCACATACGAGAAAAGTAGGCTCTATGTCTGCAAAAGAACTGAACCAAGGCTAGCCCGTAAGTGATTTCCTCTCGAGTCATTTATGCCACTGCTCTTGGTCACAGAGTAGATTTAATGAACAGCAATGCTCAGTGGTAAATTATTCACTGGGTTATCCTACAAAATCTAACTTACCTACTAGTATAGCGGCCAATCTGCTCTTGACAAAATAATTTTGTTAAATTTGAGACACTGCATAGAATCATAGAATCATTTGGTTGGAAAAGACCTTTAAGATCATCAAGTCCAACCACTTTTCTGTAAGGGCAGAGTTCAGTTTGGAGCCTAGCTAAACACCATGCTGTGCTTGTTACCATGCTGTGAAGGATCAGAAAGGGCTCCTATAACCAAAAGGAACTTTCATTTCTTCTCAGTAACAGCTACCTCTTTTTCACAACTTCTCATGTTAAAGTTTTCTTTGCATTACATTCATACCACATTTCCACCACATTCTTTTAAAATGGTCATTATTTTATTCTGTACCTGCCTCAAGCAGGATGAAATTAATCAATTGCACATAAGTGACATGACATAGACTTGTGACCTTGCCCAGCATCCAATTGTTTCTAATTGATTAGCTCCAGACATAAGCACTTTAATAGCCAAAACCAACACAAGCGGAAGCAATGGCACAATATTAGGGGAGAATGACTGTGTGTGGTCCATATAGTATGGCCCCAAGCAACCAATTAAAGAATTAATGGTTATTGGATACCAAAAATGTTATGTTAAATAATATGAAATATCTTTAATGTGCCTAAAATTGTGATAAAACACCTAAAATGCAGGAGCAGAAGGGCCTCCTACAAGATTTGGGTTAAGTGCTAATGACTCAAATATGCCAAATAGATTAGAATATTTCAAAGGACAATCCAGACCAAAAAATTTTACCTGAATTGAAATGTTCATAAAGCTACTCACAATAGCCTATTGATTACTACAATGTGTTTGGGTTGTTTTTATTATAAAGAGACAAGTGAAACTATGCCAAACCATTCGTGGAGAAGAGGAAACTATGCCACTACTGGTTCCAGCTCTACAATAAGAAAAATATGAAAGAAATAATATAAGAAAAATATTGTAAAAAAAAGTCTCTTCATAACCAAAAGGCCCAAACACGAAGTTGACATTTCCCTCCTCTAAAATTCTATTCTCATCTTGAACAGAACTATTAAGTGAACTTTACTTTCTGAGTGTCTTACAGGGCTGGTTATTACAGCATCATTCAACTGCTTGCAGACAAAAATACAAGCTGAACAGGCACAGCAAATCACTAACATTTTTCTTCTTGCACAAGAAATATGCAAGCAAAAACCAGAAGATCCCACTGTTGCACGGTCTGCTCAGACATGTACTGAATGCACTGCAGTTTACTGCACAATTAATTCAAATTAATTATTTTTACTTTAATGGGGAGTCCTTTACTCAAGTAACCAGTGTACTTTTATGACTAGCTGCAACCATAATACAGATACAGGAGGTGTTCATCAACAGGTAGCTGCCAAATGACTCGCAGCACATAGTGCACTCAGCGGTGCCACTGAGGGTGGGTTGGAGTCCCATTCCCACTAGCTTAAACCTCAAAGTCCACCCCTTAAGTTGATCATAGCTTACTCAGCTCTCTAGTACAGTATCCTCAGTTCTTCATACTCCTTTTGAACTTACTTTTGCCTGATGTATTATCATTCAATTCAAAATTCACCAGGCTCCAGTTTGAAACCACCATTTCTCAGCATCGCAATACTACAAACAGTACACAACAATATTACAGAAAACAGCATCACTGCTTTTATTTAAAACCAAGATTTTACTTTTTTTTGTCAAAACCTGCTACAATACTTTAAAAAATGATGCTATTTCAAAAAAATATTCTTCAGTTTATTTAGCTGCCCTTTTCTAAGGGTTTCTAGATTTGGGTGTATTTAAGACTGAAGAATCCTTGAAACGTTCTATGCTGTGGGAACTATCAGTATAGAGTGTGACATACTACAACAACATCTCTGCTCCATGCCAACACACCATATTTCTTGAAATACTCACTTCTTGGAACTTATTAGGCTCATGTGTCAGGCAACAGATCAGTTGGCAGCTATGGTTTTCCTCTATGGTTCCTGTATTCATTGAATACTTGAAGCAAAGACCTTTTTGGACCACCTTCCGCCCCCCCCCCAACACTGACTTCCAAGTGCTTTAGGTGTTTCTACCCAGGTATTTATTTAACCCTTGTCACTTACAGTATCTTAACTTTTATCAGGTGCTAAACCTCTTGGGGGCAAAGAGCAGCTGTGCTGCCTAGAAAGATCCATGGCATTACACATCTGGCAAGATCTCCCTTTGGTCCCCATATAGTAAAGTCAGGTACAATATTACTAGGAAAAGAGAGAATATCAATTTCCCATATGGATGTCTTTGAAATTCAGTTCAGTGGAAGGAAAACCTTCTCATCAGGAGCCTTTTATTTACAGTGCAGTTCCTTCAGCAGTTTTCTCTTTAAAAAACAGTAGTTCAAAGTGTGCAGCAAGATCATCTGATAAAGGACCAGGCATGACAATAGCAACAAGTTCATTACCTACCTGCAGATGAGCATAGACAGCAATAGCAAGCCAAGTGATCTCCCAGGAGAGTCCTGCGGCTTTCGGGCTGGCCATCCTTGTGCCTTGGGGCTCTGCTGAGAGAAATTGTTTCAAGTTACAAACAAAATCAGGTGGGCTCCGCCAGAATTTCAATAACTAAAGCAAACTGGGCAAAGGCATGGAACCAGCCTTTGGAAGAAATGCAATGCAAACACCGGAGTTTCGTGCTGGCCAGAGGAGCAGACACGCAGTGCATGCCATGAGCACAGCCTGCAGGGTGAAGTAGTTCCAATTAGGGAACAGAAAAGGGGGAAAACAAAAGTTTTGAGGAAGCTGGCAATAGTGGGAAAGTTTGATTATCTCCTGAATGTAGAAGAATTTATCAGCTTGGGAACCCCTCCTATCTTTATCTCTGGAAGGTAAAATCCAAGGAGGATAGGATTTCTGGTGTACTGTTCCAGCACTTTCACCCACTCGAAGCTGAGAGCCCAGCCCTGGGACTCCAGCAGTCATTTGCACTTCCTTTGAAAGCTCCGATCATAACAGCTCAGAGACTAAGTGATCAGGGCTGAGGAAAAAACAAAACAAAGCATCAACTTGGTGATCATCACTATTACAGGGCCAACACGAAACTGTCAGTCACTTTTATTAAAAAGTTCAATTTAAAATTGCCAACAAGAAAAAAATCATGTAATAATGCTCCTAATTCTGCCTATTCCTAGTGTCAGTGTATCATCTTGCCTCAGACTATTCATTACCACAGTGATCTCAAAATAGTACAAGTTCCACGCACCCCTTATACACATGCACGCAAACAGCTAAAAAAAAAAAAAAAAAAAAAATTTAAAAGTTCCCTTTCCTCCCCAAACCTTTAGCACTCCCGGATGCCTCTGTCATTTAGAAGTTTCAATCAACTATGGCAATAAGAGAAGATTTTTATTTTTTTTTCTTTTTCCCCTCGCCAGGCATTGCCGGGAGCCGCGACCGGCAACACACCCCAGACCCCGACGCTTCACAGGTGCCGGTGCCTGGGC